AATGAAACCATTCATTTAAACCTACTATCTATAATAATAAAAGCATAACATGCTATTTAGTCCGGACAGTCGAATAACCTTCCGGACATCCTTCTGGATGACCTTTTGGACGAAGCCAGGGTTGTGAGGGCCCAGGCAAGCCACTAAGGCTGTGAGATCCAAGCCCCTTGCACGAATTCCATGCATCGGGCCTCTAGTTATTAAATAAATGTTATTACCTTAATACAATCTTTTATGGTGGGATATTCTTTTTAAAAAAATATATATTTTATTGATTTTGTACAGAGAGGAAGGGAAAGAGATAGAGAGTTAGAAACATCGATGAGAGAGAGTCATCGATCAGCTGCCTCTTGCACACCCCCTACTGGGGATATGCCCGCAACCAAGGTACATGCCTTTGACTGAAATCGAACCCGGGACCTTTCAGTCCCCAAGCCGACGCTCTATCCATTGAGCCAAACCCGTTTCGGCTGGTGGGAGATTCTTAATGGCCAAAATAATTGACTTAACTTTCCTTGGATATATTTCAAATGCCTGTGAAAAATAGTCTTTTAAAAAGAGCGGTTAATTAAGTCTCAATGTCATCTATGACATTACCCATAACTATTATAAAGCTCATATATTTTTCTTTCTCCCAACTTATACTATTTTTTTTAGAACTGTTTCAAAGTTTCATCATGAATATCACATTATATAGAATCCACAGAGATTGTTGTTCTTTACCTGCTCATCTACAAAAATAATCATGTTGAAAGCTTTTTTTTTCATATTAAAAACCAACTATTTTTAATCAAAATCTCTAAGGATTTTGAATAGCCAATGAGGAAATGCTACAGAATATCATGCCCTGCTGTTGACGTTCTGTAATATGTAAAGAAGAAACAATGGCATGCTAAGAACAAATTTCATCCTCACTGTCAAGATGAAGATATTACACTATAAACTGTTCATAGTCTACACCTCTGGTCTTAATTAGCCAGCTCAAAACCCTATGCTGTAGGTCAAATGGGGTCATGAAGAACATAAGTGGCTTACCTCAAACCAACATCACAATTAGTAAGTAACTTAAAACATATGCTTTATTAGTATTCTAGATTTAACATTACCTTTATAGGGAGAATAACTTATGGTACCAGGATTATTATTTTCCTTTTAGTAACAGAACATAATAAAATTCCATGTGAATTAAATAAGAGAACCAAATTAAAGTTTCACTAAATAGAGCTTCCAGAATTTGGTTATTTTCTTCAAGGTGGTTTTCTTCAAAACTTTAGACTAATTAAATGTTAAATAAATCTGAGTTGAGACATCAGATTTATTTAGAGACTATTCTAAACTGCCATAGATTGAGATTTAATAGAGGGCAGGGATTTTGTTTATATGCATCTCTAATAATTAGCCCAGGACCTGACACAAAATGTTTGTTGAGTGTCTTAATGAATGTTAACACCTTAAAAGACAATCTTGAAGTTTGATAAATTTAGTAATAATACTAGTTTATCACTCAATTAACTTACCCAATGAAGAGATGCTTTCAGCGTTTTTTTAATGTCTTTACCAGATGAAAGTAAAAATTATCATTTGAAGAACATCTGAATTACTACTGAAGACAACCATTTGTAGTTCATCATCTGTCACATTAGATTCTGTGTGATACTGCTTTTAGGATATAGTATTAGGGGAAGGTTTGATTGTCCTAATGAATTTAAGGCTATTAAAATACTGTGGCCTATTCTTGTTCCTTCTTTCTCCTAGCTTCCCAGGAACACGCGGAGCTAAATTTTATGTCTTATTATATTTCCTATTGTTTTTGTCAGTTGTCACTTTTTTTCATTTACTTTTTCATTTTCATAGCCTAATCCTTTTTATAAATGTGATAGATTTTATGAATGTAAGTGTTTTATCCTCAGTCCTTATTTCCAGTGATTCTTCCACCTTTCAGCATTATTGGCTATTCTTTGAAACTTTCCTTCCTTGCCTTTCATGATATTCTTTGTCAACAAGTAACTATTAAATGCTTATTAGATATCAGGTGCCATTGAGTTTCTCCTGACTCAGTCACTCTCCCTCTGCTGTTCCTTAAGTGTGCAGCCTCCCTTTTCATCCCCCAGTTCTATAGTTTTCTCACTCTGTGTGCTGTCCCTAGATTTTGAAATACAATTCCTCCCTTGAAATGCTTGGGGCTAGATCTGCTTCAGAATTCAAAATTTTTGGATTTTAGAAAGGTCATAGATTTACCATATGTTATGTAATAGCCTTCCCTGAAGAACCCTATCCTCTAATCAAATACATTATTTCTTCAGTGAAGCATGAGCATTTACAGTAATATAAAGACTGTAAGTAGTCCCATTACATTCTTAGTCAGGTTTTGTTGCCAAATGAGTTTTGTCCCAAAATTGGGAAAAAGCTTTTTGATTTTAAATCATTTTAGGCTTTTGAAAGAGAAGACTTGGTAGATCTTAAAATATTTTAGGCATGGTATCTCTCAAATCTCTATCTGGCCCTATATTTCCAATGCCTTTTGCACATCTTCACTAAAGGGCCTGTCAGCTACATAAATTTGTATTGAAGTGAATTTATTGCCTCCTCACAAATTCACTTCATCCTTGGTTCTTAGTCTAAGCTCCTCCTATCAATCACTGTGTCCTATGGAATCCAATATAATTTACTCTGAACTCCTTGCCTCTTATCCTTTGCCACTTCACATGTTATGGTTCACTTTCATTCCCTCTCTTCTCTGCCTTGATTGGATAGATTTTTAACTATAAATTCTTTATAAGGACCTCTCCTTACTGGAGAAGACTAATGAAAGAACTGTTTAAATCAATGAGGGAACATTTGGCAACCATTAAAAAGAATGAGATGGCTCCATGTCAATTGCCAAAACATATTAAAGGATTAATACATGCTACTGAACAGTATATTGAGATGCTATAGACCGTTTATCTACATAGAGAAAGTTCTGAAAAGCACATCTATAGCAGAGTCCCTGGGAGGACACTAGGAACTTTATTTTCTAATTTTTCTAGTGTTTAAACAAAAGCTGAAAAAAGGTTATCAGTATGTTAAGTGTGATAAGGTATTATATAAAGGAATGTAACATTAAGTACCTAATTCTGCTTGCCTAAGTTAGGGAAAGATTAGATGATGTTTTCCTTTGGGCACAGAAATAGACATTCTAGTTGGAGCAAATAGCAAGTTCAATAGCACCCAGATCCTAATGGATCTATAGTGGGTTCCAGGAATGGCAACTGGTGCTGGAGGGTAGTTTCAAGGGAGTAGAATTTGAGACTGAGGCGGGCATAGTCAGATTGCAAAGTACCTCAAGTATTAATTAGAAATATAGACCTGACCTAGTCAGTGGAGACTATTTGGAGGTTTATTAGCATATATATATATATATATATATATATATATATATTTTTTTTTTTTTTTTTTTTTTTTTTTTTACAAAGAGGAGAGAGGGATAGAGAGCTAAAAACGTTGATGAAGGAGAAACATCGACTAGCTGCCTCTTGCACACCCCCTACTGGGGATGTGCCGCAACCAATGTACATGCCCTTGACAGGAATCGAACCTGAACCTTTCAGTCCGCAGACCGAAGCTCTACCACTGAGCCAAACCGGTTTCGGCGGTTTATTAGCTTTTTTAAAATATATTTTTCATTGAAGCAATTTTAGATTTACAGAGAAGTTGCCAAGATAGTTCAGAGATCTTGTATAACCCCTCACCTTTTGTCTCCCTTCATGTTATCTTACATTACCATGGTACCTTTGTCAAAACTAAGAAACCAATACTGTTATATTATCATTAACCAAACTCCAGACTATTCAGTGTCCTTTTTCTGTTCCAGGAGCCTATCCAGGATCTCACGTCATACTTCGTTGTCATGTTTCCTGTCTTTTCTATGTGAGTTTCTGTTTTCATGACCTCAAGTTTTGGGAGGCAGTGATCAGTTTGTAGAATGTCCCTCAATTTGTGTTTGTCTGTTTTCTCATAATTTGAATGGTGTTGAGGGTTTTGAAAAAAAAAAAAAAGGTAAAGTGCCTTTGTTATCACATCCTATTAGAGGGCACATGATGTCCATGTCATCATTGATGTTCACCATGATCACTTTATTAAGATAGTACTGGCCAGGTTCCTCCATTGTAAGCTTCCCAGAAGTTTCCCTCTTCCCATACTTGTCTGGTTATTTATTTTAATATTTTTATTTTTAGAGAGGAAGAGGGAGACAAATACATTAATGAGAAACATTGGTCAGCTGCTTCCTGCATGTCCCCTACTAGGATTGAGCTCACAACCTGGGCATGTGCAAAAGACTATATATATTCTATTTATGTGAAATGTCCAGAATAGGCAAATCTATAGTGATGTGTTAGACGTGTGTATGGGGGGGGTGGAGGAACTGGGCAATAATAGGTAAATGGTATAAGGTTTTCTTTTGGGGATGATGAAAATGTTATGAAATTGTTGGTGATAACAATATAACTCTGTGAATATACTAAAAGCCACTGAATTATATACTTGAAATATGTGAACTGTATGTGAATTCTATCTTAATAAAATTCTTATTATTATAGAAAGCCAAGGAACATAGGGCAGCTATCCACATTCAAATTACACTCTTTCAAGCTAGTGACTGACCATACAGCTATTAAATTCTAAGTTTGTGCTTGAATATCTGCCTAAAAAAATAATAACATGACAAATAGTATCATTTAATTTTTTATTAATAAAACAGAAAACTAAAGTCAGACAACTGCTTTGTTTTTGCATCTGATTTGACCATATGCCAGATTAGTGATACTTTATGAGGAGGTAGGAGAGAACTATAAATATACCAGTTCCATTAAAAATGGCATACTGGAATATTTAATAAAGTTAGGTAAATGAAATGAAAAAGAGAACAAATTAAATACTAAAAATAACAAAAAAATCTATCCCTCAAATACCAGGGATCTCCTTTAATAGTCTTCAATGCAGCTCATTTGCAATTGAGATCAATCATATTGCTTAACCCCCAAAGGAAAAAACTGAGGGAACTCATGGATAATTTTCACTGCTTCATTGTAAAGTCCAAGATCTGAAAAAACAAACAAACATTTTAGCAAACATTTAATCTACAGTGGAAAGTTGTAATATCAATTATTTCTAAACATTTCTACCTCTTTCTCTTTTATCTCCCCTTTAAAGGTCAACTTATTTTCCTGATCCATCTTCTAAAACTGAGATATGGACTGTCATCTTTATTTAACTAACTGTGGCTCCAAAAAACGAAAGACATGGGACAGGAGATCATCCATGGTATTGTAGTGCTTTAAGTATCATACATTACTTGATGGCTTTAATCCATATATTTAAACAAGACAAAAAAAGATTAACATTATTTTTGTTTCGCTTAAAAATTATTTCCATAAATATTAAACTTTACTGAGTTTCTTCAAATACACACACTACTTAGAAGCAGGGCAAAATGTCCTCGAATTTTTGATATCAGAAAATTCTATAGAAATTGAAAATGTAGCAGGACTGAAACTAAAGAATAAAATTTGTTTTTCTCCTAAATGAAACTAAATGCTTTATTTACCAAAAGGATGGATATCTTCTTTAAACTGGACATAAGATGAGCACATAATGGTTGCCTTGGCTGTTACTCTTCCAACTACTTCCACAATTCCAGAGATTTCTTCATCAAGCTAGCACAAATAACAAAATACCAACTTCATGTTATCACATTTTCAGTTGATAATGAACTCGGAAAATTGTTATATCTTTCTGTTTATGTAACAAAATAATTAAAAATTTACCAATGCCAAAACTGAAGTGCAACCTGTTAAAAAAATGTTTGAATACTTGCTGTCAGCATGTTACAAATCCTATTAACCTTTAGCTATAGCTCCAGGCCCAAAGGTATTAAATTGAAGACAAAATCACTTAAAGATATTTAGACTGTTCAGCATTTTTACAAGGAGCGATTTGTTCAAAAAGACCAATGAAAGGAACCTCCTATAATCTTGCCCAGTATATTCTGTGTACATTAACCAGACAGCATATGCATACATCTTAATAAAAGACAAAAATATATATAAAAAATGGAAAAACAAATTAAGTGACAACTGAAAATATAAAAATATATATATTTATATATATTTATATATATAAATTTATTATATATAATTTATATATAAAAATTATATATAATTTTTATATATAACTGAAAAAACAAAAATAGAAAACAGTATTTTAAAAAAGTATCACCTTCATGTTTTCTTAAGGAAGAAAAATGATTTAAACAAAAGATTTACCTTACATGATTTTATGGTCTTTCAAAAGACATGAGAATTGTCACCTAGTATTTAAGGGATGTATTAAAAAGAAAAAAAATCACAGAATCCAAATAATCATTGGTTAGACATGTAAAAGGGAAATAGAATGTAATACAAGGACAAAAATGACTTTTACAGCCAGGGAAGTTTTACAACCTGATCCTTTATATATCTACTCCAAGAAGCAAAAATATCAGCAACAAACCAAAACAAGATGTAGAATTAACTCTGATATGCATAGAATTAATATTTGAACTTACAGGCTCCATCAACTCAATGGTTGCACTTTTCCCTTCTCCATCTGAAAGAATAAACATTTTTCCAGTGGGATGAATCTGAAAAGGAAATACACAATGAAACATCTCACATATACAAAACCTTTAAAATCTAATTAAAATAAACTCACACATGTAGGGGAAATAATGAGCAACATAAACTGATGAACAAAAATAGACTGGGAGATAGGGAAGCATGGGTCACTCTCTCACACCTCAGAGGAAAGGTAGGGGAGGGTGGGGGGAAGGGAGAGAACAACCAAAGGACTTGTATACATACATATAAACCTAACCAGTGGTCACAGACAACAGGGGGGTGGGGGCATATGTGGGGAAGGGTTTGGGGGTGAGAATGGGGGGATGAGGACAATTATGTGATACCATAATAATAAAAAAAATTAATTTGACAAAAGATGGGTAGGTTGACCCAAAGTTTTGTGATACATGTGTGCAAAGCAATCGCTTTTGAAGTTTATTAGGTTCAAATGATAATCTTGTGTTGCTGTATCCATTCAAACGACCCCATTATATTTCAATTTCCAGATTAACACCTTTTTTAGTACAAATATGTCCTGTATTTTTATTTGCTATATCACTCAACCCTGTGCTAAAAACTAGAGTCCATACTACGTATCTAAAAATGAACTCTGCCGGGGCCCATGATTTAAATAGTACATATTCGATGGAGGATATGTTTTAAAAATCTGGCATGATTTAGTAAAGAGAATCAGTTGTCAAAAGATCTGGGTTCGTCTTGTGAGAAAGCTGCAAAGTGTGCAGTCAGATCTGTTTTGAGTGCTAGCTCTGCTACTTGATGTGGTCTTGAGCAATTTTTGTTTTTGAATCTTTTTAATTATTTTCTTTTAATCTTTGTTTAAAGTATTACATAGGTTCTCTTTTTCCCCCCATTAGCCCCTTCCAGCCCCACCCCACTTCCAGGCCCTTACCATCGCATTATCTGTGTCCACAGGTAATGCACACACGCATACAAGTTCACTGGTTGATCTACACTACCAAATTTCATACCAACACCTATTTCAAAAAGAGGTTGTGTGGCTGATATTATTATACTTAGCCTTTATATAATATCCGTTTTTCTTTCAGCTTTCTAACCTGGTTCACCGATTCTGAGACTCTGGGCCTGTTTCTCAACCAGAAGGACGAAGGGGCTGCACTCTTAACACTGGGATAAGGTAAGAGACAGCTGTGGGATCTGGAAGGGACAGTCGAGGAATGTTTTATCGAGAAGTGCTTTCAAGGAAAAACGAGGTCTGAGAAGGAGAATTGCAGAAGAGAATAAAGTCAGAAACTCAGACTAGCCGTCGAGTCTGGCTAAACTAAACTGCCAAGAAAGTAGATGTGGGAGTCAAGTCTACAATTTCTTTTCTATGTAAACACAAAACAGAACCAGGGTGGGGGGCGCTAGAACTTAGAATGGAGCGCATACACAAACGTGGCGATTCCGCGCCATAAAACAGGCGCCAAAATGGGGCTGCAATAGCTACAAAGCGTGCAAAAATAAAGCAATCGGGCGCGAAGTGAGGCTAAGGCTTTCTTTCTGCCCTCCTCCACCCTCCGTGGCCTTTCCTAAGTCTACCCAACCGTCCCCCCCACCCCCCAAGGCAGCAAGGGGTCCCTTCCGCTCCCGCCACCCAACCCCCACCACGGACTACCCCCGGGGAGCCCGGGCGGCCAGCGCGCACACCTTTTCCAGCCTCCCTACGAAGCAGACGGGCCGGTCGATGGACTGAGCTAGCATGCCGGCATTGATACGCGACTTGGGCAGCTCCATCACCTCCACCATCATCGTGGACGGCGGCCGGCGGCCGGCGGGAAGCCTGCGGCGGAGTGGAAACAGAGGCTCGCGGGGTCTGTGGGGGCGGAGACCAGCACTCTCGCTCCACCAATCAAATGCGCGGAAATCTCGGCGGGGCTCACGGTCTCCACCAAAGGGAAAGCGAAAGGAGGGACGCGAACGGAAGTGGGGCGGGATCTGCTGCCTAGTGACGCGCGGCGTCCCGGAAGTGGCCCGGTCCACGTGGGAGAGGGCGGCGGGGGCGGGGCTTGAGAGGGGCGGGGCCTGAGGCTCCCTCCGCTGATCTCCGGCCTCCCCGAGGCCGCTTGACCCCGGAAGCAGGGTGTGGGGCTCCGGTGCGGCGGGACCCCGCGGTGCGAGCCTCAGGTACCTCTTCTGGCGGGAGGCCCCGCCGCCTCCCTCTTTCCCCTTCTTCTCTCCACTGACAGGTGAGGAGAGGGAGGCGGAGTCGCTGCTGTCCCCGGCTGTTCGCATTTCCCTCGCCCTCCCCTGCCAGGCTCTGCGTGGGGAGGGCGGGATGCTTGCGTGTGGAAACCTAGAGATAAGGCCGTTTTTGATGCCCGCCCTCCTAGAGGTGGGAAGTGGGGTCGTCAGGGATCTCCACCGCCTGGGCCAGGCCGCCTGACGCGGGAGGCGGAGGGCTGGGTGTTTACTTGCCAGGCGGCGTCACTTTCCCTGTCAGTTTCCCCACCTGTAGGGGGAGAGGCTGTCAGTTTCCCCACCTGTAGGGGGAGAGGCTGTCAGTTTCCCCACCTGTAGGGGGAGAGGCTGTCAGTTTCCCCACCTGTAGGGGGAGAGGCTGTCAGTTTCCCCACCTGTAGGGGGAGGAGGCGGATCTGATGACCGCCAAGACCCGTTCAGGTGCCCAGGATCAGGCCACACTGCGGAGGTGCAGGTTCTCTCCCCTCCGTGTGAGCGAAGTGATGGAGCATCTGGGAGGGGGTCCCTAGCGGGGAGGACCTCTGGACCAGGCTAGGGGGCGAATTTACATTGCTGCTAGGTTTTGACCAGTAATTTCCTGACCCGTAATTTCCCCATCCGCAAAATGAGGGGGTAGGTAATTTACTGTTTGACAACGTAAATTGCAACTGTTGTCCCTATGGTTCACGGACCTTTTAACTCCTCTGCAATCCCCCCACCCCCTCTCCCCAGGACTCTGGAGGGGAGAGATCTGGAGATGTGGAGGATATAACCTGTTTCAAGCAGATCCCACTGGCTCATGTGGCTATTGATTTTCATGTTTTTGTTTTGTTTTCTTTGTTTTTGTGTTGTGGGTGTGTGTGTGGGTGTGTGTGTGCGCTTGCGGATTGGTACCTGACTTGCCAGGGATATTCCAGAATGAGTGCTCATAAAAATACCTTGCTAACAGGGCTGCAGAAATTGGAAAACACTTTTTATTGGATATTACTATTTTGGGGGAACTTAGTCACATGAGTTTGCCTAAGGCACCTTATTTGATATCTTTCAAATTCAGGGACCTATCTGGAGCCTTAAGCAACTAAGGTCCTTTTAAGACTTCACTGCAGCAATTTAAAATGGAAATCTAATGTACCGTAATTAAAGGATAGCCTACCTCAGTGTTTACTTAGCAGCACATATATTTTGTCTTTGGTGTTGCTATCACTAAAACAAATATTTTGTCAAACCTCAGAGGGAAAGTAGGCGAAGGGGGGTAAGGGGAAGAGGTCAACCAAAGGACTTGTATGCATACATATAAGCCTAACCAGTGGTCACAGACAACAGGGGGAAGGGGGCATATGTAGGGAGGGGCTTAGGTGAGAATGGGGGTGGGGGGGGGATGAGGACAAATATGTGTTACTTTAATCAATAAAGAAATTTAAGAAATAAAAAAAACAAATTTAAACAATTTTGTTAATTGATGCAGCATGAATGTCAATTGGTCTGTAAAAAAGTTGTGATTCTATTGGTGCAAATCAATAAAGTCTATTTTATACTTTTTCTGAAGACTTAATGTCCTTTGCACCTTAGTATCGCTTTAGAAAACAAGTCATTGCATTATATAGGGTAAAACACGCATGAATATATTCTTTAATAGCAAGCCTTAAAGTACCAGATGCTAATATCATTATTTTATTACAGTTAAAAGACCACTCTTACCTTCCAATAGCATTCTAAAAAGCAAACAAAATATGGAGACAAGCAGGAAGATAATTTAAAACAGCATTTTAGATATATTTTGAGTCACTTAAAATGTATTAGGTAATAATACATCATATAGAGGAAAGTAAATATGGCCAGTATGCATTCAATACATTTAAAATGTATTAGGTAATAATACATCATATAGAGAAATGTAAATATGGTCAGTATGTATTCAAATTCAAATATGGCCAGTATGTATTCATTTAATATCCAGAGAGATTAAATGAACTCATTCAGCTTAAAAAATGGACCTTTACCAATTAGTAGTTTGTACTTCCTCAGTTAAGTCCTTCTCCCTACCAGCCAGAAAGCAACACTATCTGGAAAACACTAAGCTTTTCTTTATATTTTTATTTACACAAGCAGACATTCCTAGATGGAATGTTGTTTAGTTTTTGTCAATTTTGACCTTTATAAAATTAGAATCATACCATATATATTTTCTGAATTCTTTCTTTTACTTGCTTTTGAGATTAATCCATGTTGACACATGTAGGTGCAGTTCATTCTTTTAATTTTTTGCTGTATTGACTGACATTTTGATTATTTGAAATTCATTTCTACTGTGTATAGGGCTTCTGTGAATATTTTGGTATATATTTGTTGGTGCACTTGTGCAAAAGTATATCAGTAGAATTGTTGGAACATAGGGTGTGCATCTTTAGCTTTACTAAAACTTTACAAAAACCAAAATTTTCCCCAAGAAGTGGTACTAGTTTATTCTCTTATCAGGGGTTCCATTTGATCCACGTTTTTTTGTTTGTTTGTTTGTTTGTTTGCTTTTTTTTGGCAATGAGATGGTTTCATGTTATGGTCCTAATTGGCTTTTTCTGAATACTAATGTTCTACAGCTTTCCAAATATTTATTGGCTATTTGTGTTTACCTTTTTGTTTTGTTTTGAGGATTTTTCTTATTGATTTTTGAGAGCTTTTGTATTAGTGTGGATAGTAATGTTGCATTTATTAGTTTAGGCCTTTCAATTTTTTTCATTCTTTCTGTCTTTCTTTCCTTTTTCCCCCTTTCAATAGAAAGAACTCCTACTTTTAATATAGTTAAAATGTTTTTCCCTGAAATTTAAAATAATTGAAAAGGCAATTCAAAAAATCTAATTTAAAAATCATTTCTTAAAACAAGCATTATATTTTTTAAAAATTTGAAATAGTTTTATTTTTCATATTCAAAACTACTCCATCATTTAGAATTGAGTTTTCATGTATGTTGTCAGATATCCAATTTCTTTGTTTTGTTTTTATTTCAATTGTCCCAGCATCATTTTTGACTATGACCTTTGCCATTGACCTTTGATGTCACCTTAAGTTTACATATGTGTGTGGGTCTGTTCCTGGGCTTTCAGTTCTGTTCCATTCATCTGTTTTTCTGTCCCTGCACTATTACTCACTCTCTTCAACACTGTGGCCTTGTAACTTTGATGTCTTGATGGAAAGTTCTTTTACCTTGATCTGTTCTTCATGAATGTGTAGTTATTCTTGGCTCTTTGATACTTCATATATAATTTAGCGTGTCAGGTTCCATAGGAAACTGTGTTGGGATTGGATCCAATTGCATTTGAATCTTTGGATTGACTTCAGAAATAACATCATAATGACAACTCTTACTATTCTTGTGTTATTTTGGTCCTCTTAAAACCTTTCCAAATAGTTTCTTAATTTTCTATATAAAGGTTTTGACTTTTAGATTAGATTTATTCCAAGGTAACTTGTTGCTATTATAAATGATTTTAGAAAATTCTTTTAAAACAGATTTTTATTGATTTAAGAGAGGAAGGGAGAGGAAGAGAGAGATAGAAACATCAGTGATGAGAATCATTGATTGGCTCCCTCCTGCACAGCCCCTACTGGAAAATTGAACTTGCAACCGGGTATGTACCCTTGACCAGAATCAAACTCAGGCTCCTTCAGTCTGCAGGCCAATGCTCTATCCACTGAGTCAATAAATGAGGGGCACCAAGAAATGTTTTTTTTTTTTTTTTTTAAATTAAAGATTGTTAACTGATCGTTGCTGATATATAGAATGCATTTGACTTTTTCCTGGCCATTCTGCTAAAGTCATTTCTTGTAATTTTTCTATAAGATAAATTTTCTATTCTTATGTGAATAATTTGTTTCTTAACAGTTCTCACACATTTTATTTTTCTTGCTTTCCCCCAGGTTAGAATTTCCAGTACCATTTTGAATAGAAATGGTGTTTTAGTTCAGGTGGGATTTGACTGCATAAGTAAAAGTGTCTTAAATATATAAAGGCTGCTCTGGCTGTGTAGCTCAGTTTGATTAGAGCATTGTCCCAATATGCCAAGATTATGGGTTCTATCCCTGATCAAGGCACATATAAGAAGCGAAGCAACCAATGAATGCATAAATAAGTGGAAAAGTAATCTATCTCTCTCTCTCTCTCTCTCTCTCTCTCTCTCTCTCTCTCTCTCTCTCTCTCTCTCTCTCTCTCTCTCTCTCTCTCTCTCTCTCTCTCTCTCTCTCTCTCCTTTCGTTCCATCTTTAAGATCACCCAATAGGCTATGATAGATGCAGGGGCATCAACCATTTACTTCCCATTCCAGACAGCAGAGAAGTAGTCAGACAAAAGGGTGTGCCTTCATGGGACTCAGCTTCCTTTAAGGAGCCTTCCTGGAAGTTCTTTACAACTTGGAGTTCTAATTATTAGGTTAAGGGCTTTCCCATCTATTCCCTGTTTGATAAAAATTTTAATTGAGTGATTAAGATATTTAATAAATTTTTTTGCCTTAATTCAGATGATTAAAATGTATAAATTTTCCATTATTGAACCATGTTTATATTTCTGAAAGAAACACAAC